TATGTCCATTCACCTAAGTATTGTCCATATTCAGAAGTCTTTATTTACAATTAACGTACACCAGTGGCGGAGATACAGGGGATTAGTGGCATTATTTTTCCAAATAAAAATAGTATATCACTGTTTCGTCTGGAAACGCACAATGTTTCGAATTTTACCTTCAATTTTCTACCAATAATATCTCATGTATTTTTTCCCTAGAGTACATTGCCGCTAAAGCATTCTCATCACATAACCCGTACACAAAAATAGTATCGGCGTACTCATCATTGCTGAATTCCATTTCACAACACTCAAAAATGGAGAAAATAAACTTTTGACTTGACTTAGACAAAAAAAAAATGGTAGTGGTAACGATAACAACCGTATAACAAATAACTTTGACAAACTATCTTCTAGGAAACGTCAAGTAGGTATCAAGGCCTCCTATTTTATTTTGAAACTAATTGTATCTCGGCTCTCCATGAATGATCTAATTTGTTTTATTTTTATTTTTACGAAAACAGTGCCCTCTAGGAAAAATACAAGTATAATTTGAAAAACTGTACGTTTCGAAAAAAAAAACAGTGGCTTACTATTTTTATTCGAAAAGATAATGCCACACATCCCCTGTAACACCGCCACTGGTGCAGGATAATTTTAAGTAAAGACTTTTGAATGTGGACAATACGGTAAATCCACATACCAAATTTGAGTTCATTCCAGGTGGCGGTTTTAAAGATAATAAGAATATGTTTTTTACTTTTAAACTGTTTTTAGTGTTGATGTTTCATTTTTGGCCACGACTTGTGAATCACCCTGTATTGAGGAATGTATAATTAAAACTATACATTGATTCCATTTGCTTCACTCCAACTTCAAGGAATCACCGAAAACTAAATTAGGCCAGACGTTATTGGTTCCATTCTAAAGGAATCTGTGTAGAGTAGTCCGCGTCGTGTTAAAAAATGAGACCAAAACAGTTTTTTTGAAAAAATGCATCTTAAGAGACAGTTTAAACTTGGAGAAAATGGATCCGCTTTTGTGATGACGACACTCATGTTATCTCTAATCACTGATATTGAACAGTTGTTATATAGTAGATAATATATCATAAATAGGAGTTCCTAAAAGCTTTCGCACACTTTTTATATAGCCCAATAGTTGTCCGTAGTTCCCAATATTGTTGTAAACGATAATATCGATATAATTTGGTTACAAACTACTTTAGTTATGTGGACGGAATATTACTCATAAACAAATACGTTCTGGGAAAATCTATTTATGACATGACATTTGAGGGCACATTTCTGAAATATTAGCCATTATACAGGGTGTCCCAATTTCGACCTACATATCAAAGTTGTGATTTTTCAAATAGAATGCCTCAAATTTTATTGCATATTTGGATACACCAATTCGAAAGAATAAAATTGATATAACATACTATGGGATTTTGGCAATTAGCTACTGCGATATAAGGTGTTTTGTCTAGAAAAACCCCCCACTTCGGCAACGCCATTTTGAAATTTGGAGTGCTGAATTTTGTACCAAAAAAAACTTATACACCTCAGCTTTCATCTTGTTTGTTACTTTTTCGAATTTTAATTTTTACTCATACAGGGTGGTCGAAAACGCAAATTGTAGTTTTTCTCAAAAATTTCAAATGTATTACCCTGTATTATTGTGCAAGTTTGGATTCAATTTTTATAGGCTTTTTTTTGATACTAGACACAAGGGTTTTTACGTCTATTTTTTCGGTTATTAGCACGTCTTTTATGGACCGGCTTAATTCCCTAAATATCGCATCATCCTTGGAAACAAATAAATTGTTGATTAGTTACAAACTGTCAAAATTAGCTTTGTGAGCATTATGATTAAAAACGTGTTTGAAAATGAATTTTTCTAAAGAAATAATGGTGAATATGGTGTTCGTTTTGGGCGAAGCCCAATGAAATAGTTTCCTAGCATCTCGCCTTATATCTTGGCCTCTATATCTTGGCCTCCTAGATCACCAGATATGACACCGATAGACTTTTTTCTATGGGGCTAAAGCAAGAGGTTTATATATATATATCTATCATCGACCAAGGAAAATATGAAGGGAAGGATTAAGGATGCTTTTTTGAACATAAGGGCATGCTGAGGGATGTGCAACGGTCATTTATCCAAAGACTACGGCTGTGTATTCAACATGATGGAAATATTTTCGAGCAGTTTTTGTAGACTGTTATTAGTTTTTACGTCAAATCTGTATTCTTAGTGGAAATATAGAACTAGCCCACTGTTTGTGTTTTGTTTCCATGGATGATGTGACTTTTTTTCCTTAATTTTGGTGTTTTGTTCTATTAAAACCTTAATCTAGTGATTTTATCTAAATCAAACCTTATACCAAAAAAAGCTTATTTGAAATTGAATCCAAACTTGCACAAATATACAGGGTGGTGCATTTGAAATTTTTGAGAAAAAGTACAATTCGCGTTTTTGACCACCCTGTATGAGCAAAAATGAAAATTTGAAAAAGTAACAAATAAGATAAAAGCTGAGGTGACAAAGTTTTTTTTGATACAAAATTCCGCACTTCAAATTTCAAAATGGCGGATTGAGGGGTTGCCGAATTGGACAGTTTTTCTGGAAAAAACACCTTACATCTCAGTAGCTAATTACCAAAACCTCATAGTATGTTATATCAATATTCTTCTTTTAAATTAGTTTATCTAAATATGCAATAAAATTTGAGGCATTCTATTTAAAAAATCACTACTTTGATATGTAGGTCAAAATTGGGACACCCTGTATAATTGTCAATATTTTAGATATATGCCCTCAAAAGTCATGTATAACATCACATAAATAGGTTTTCCTAAAATGTATTTGTTTATGAGTAATATTCCGTCCACACGTAGATGGGCCACCCTGTATTATTGGAAAGGTGGATAGTAAATATACTAAGTGACATATAAATCCGAACACCCAGTTTAAATGGTTTTATTTTAATAAAAGCTGGTGAATGTATTTATCTTACTGTAAATAACAAGTGAAAAAATGTTCAGCCTTATCAGTTGGACATTCCGGTTTTTATACTGCTTTTTTTCAATTCACTAATGCTCTAAAAATGAATATTTCAGCCGCAGTAAAGAATCAACGTTGGCGGATTTTGGTTCTTGACATCCTTTACGATCGGTTACGATGCCTAGAGTACGGAGACCTGTACGATTTCGTCAACTTAGTGAGTTTGATAGGGGCCGTATAGTGGGACTTCGGGAAGCTGGACTTTCTTTTCGGGCAATTGCAGTTAGAGTGCAAAGGAGTGTAGACACTGTGGTTAGGTGTTGTCAGGCATGGCTTCGAGAAGGCCGTACGCAAAGAGCAAGGGGCACTGGACGCCGCCGTAGAACAACAGACCGTGAAGATCGCCACCTAAGATTATTGGCCTTAAGGGACCGTTTCTCCACTACCAGGTCCATTGCGAATGAATGGTTTGTAGAACACGGAAGACCTATTGGCATGCGAAGTGTTTACCGACGAATGAGAAGTTTTGCCTTGTTTTCATACCGGCCACACTGGGTCCTCCCTTTAACTCGAGAACACCGACGTAATCGCCTTGAGTGGTGCAGACAACGGTCACTCTGGGATCAGGAATGGAACAGTATTGTCTTTAGTGACGAGTCTCGATTTTGTTTTGGCATGCACGATGGTCGTGCCAGGGTTAGAAGGCGACGTGGTGAAAGGAGGAATCCACAGTTTTTTGTTGAAAGACATGTTCATCACACTGTTGGAGTTATGGTTTGGGGTGCTATAGCTTATGGTTCCAGGTCACCTTTAATCTTCATCAGAGGTAACATGAACGCGCAGCGTTATATCCACGAAGTTCTAGAACCCGATCTTTTACCCCATCTTGACACCCTGGTAGATCCAACTTTCCAACAAGATAATGCCCGACCACATGTTGCAAGAGTCACAATAGACTTCTTTCAACATAATGATGTCACATTGTTACCATGGCCACCAAGATCTCCCGACTTATCCCCAACTGAGCACGTGTGGGATATGATGGGTAGAAGATTGCTCAATTTGCAACGTCCTCCTCAGACTCTGGAAGCACTTCGAGAGGAGTTGGTGGTTGCCTGGAATGAGATACCACAGGAGGACATTGACCACCTGATCAGAAGCATGCCTAGGCGCGTTGGAGAATGCGTAGCACATCAGGGTGCATCCACACATGATTAAGGTCAAAGGGCTTTAAAGCAGTGCAATCATTTTGAAATTTTTATCATTTACTTATTATGCTTCATTAAGTACTTATACAAAATTTTATTAAAATAAAACCATTTAAACTGGGCGTTCGGATTTATATGTCACTTAGTATACTTATACATCAATCCAGAGTAGAAAGAATAAAGAGAATAAAATTTTGTTTACTTGTTACGTTTTGTTGTAAGCTTGGATCTTAATTCTAACGTCGACGACCGATGTCAGCAAGACGTGGGACTGCATTGACAAAATGATAACATGAGAAGGTATTTGCCATAGCATGGTGACAACAACGAGTTTTTAATATTCTGCTTTAGAAGGAGCATGGTATGGCCCTCCATGCTCCACATACCTTTCATTTACGTTTAAATACTTAGCAACATAGGGTCGGCTCTCTTGTAGGAACAAAATGAGTAAATGTGTCGAACGCAAGTTGCGCAACATGTGCCAGATATCCTGACATGCTGCTGCGCATGTGCTCAGGCAGCTGCGGAGCATATTAAAGGCAATCAGCCCGTCACTTGACATTTACGATAGTCGGCTTAATAGTTGACCGTAACATTAAGTATCTTGCCATTAGCAAATTGAAAATTCTTGTATTCAAGTGCTTTATGTTTTTGACTCATTGCTACATCGTCCCTGTTGATCCATCTTCCCCGCCTCTGTGCCAGATTCCCACAGGCGCGCAAGCACATCCCCAGCCTCCCGGTCGATACGATCTTTCGGAAGTCGAGATCGCGCATGTTTAAACCTGTTGCCTTTTGTGTCCGGGCGTAATGACAGCCTACGAATGGCTGCCGAGACGTCTCCGCGATTAAGTGCTTGTGGTGTCAGTGAGTGGAGGACCCGACCAGCATCAAATCATCTCCAAATGATGCGCCTCACGACAATTGTTAGTTGTTACTTGCTAGAAGATCGTCGGACTTGCTGAAACTACTGACCGGATTTTACAGGTACGAGAAAACGGTTCTGGTGTCATTGACTCGTTTGAACATGCCCACTCAGATAGAATTTATGGCCTGGCGTGCCGAAAATTGGAGCAATTGTGAGAGAAAAGGATAGTGTTATGTTTATCTTCTACCATGGCACTCTTTATATAATCCAAGTGGGATCAGAAAATAAACAGCAGTGGAACATAGTAGTATATATTTTGTTAATATTAATTTTTCTACCATTATTCATATCGACAGAAGTTCAACCAAGCTAATATACGCCCCATTGCCATTTAAGTAAGTAAGTTAAATTGTCGGATTCTCAAAAAAGTATTTGGTATAACAATCATGTCTCGAATCAAGTTTGAGTGTCACCAGATACTAACTGCTTAATTTCATGCATTCATAGACTTTTTAGAAGTTTACTTCATCATGCTCGTACACTACAACTCCTTGAAGATAATTTGCAAACATAGTTCTGTTAAATCTATACCGGGGTGTGTTAAGCTTTTTGTAGCTGCAATGTCTATCTTTGTATCGGCAGTAGCTCATATTATGATGGTCTCCTAAAATGAAAAAAGAAGGTTCTATTGGCACAATCACCCTTACTTAAATTATGTTAAATACATACTGATAGGTTATGATATAGGCCAAACCACAGACATTTTTTGGCGTCCAGTTAAAAGCAATTCTTATACGAGATAATAAATTGATCAAAATGAAGAATAATACTGAACTTTTCTAAACGAGTGATACATGTTTTTCATTTATCAACGGATGCAATATAAAGTTTGTTCAAAGTTCTTTTGTGTCACATCTTCAAATTCCAAAGTTTAAAAACGCGGAAATTGTTCATGTAACATTAGAATCTTGTCCTGTGGTTTTCATGTTGGTAATTCCCCATGTTTGCCTGTCTGAAGTATACCGGGTGTCAACTAAATCGTTTTACAAAGCACTATTCAATTGCTGTTTAAAGAAGAACCTTGTAATCTTGTGTGAAGGTATGACTTATAAAAACTCAGATTATCCACTAAAAATAAGTGAATATTGCTTCCGGTTTGACCGGAAGTGAGTATGAAACAAGAATTTTAAATAGGATCCTGTATATATTTTTACATATTTGGATAGAGCTTAAAATTTCCTTTTCAACGGTGTACCACAAGTTGCGATTGATTTTCAAAATGGAGGTATAAATGGCATTTATGCCAAATTTAATATGGCGGCGTTTTGACAGTATCCATGGATTCTGTGCCAAACGACCCGCTAATTAAAGAGACAAAATGCATCCTCTTGTCGCGTCTATAATGAGTTGGCAAAACAAAAAAGTTGTCATAAATTTGGGACCATTTTTGTTTTTACGTAAGATGTCAAAATGTATTTAAAATTCTCTCAGAATTTTGAATAGGAAACGGAGCTTTCTCAATGCTAATAATAAAGAGCATCTTATTATCGAAAGAAAAATGTTCAACAGCACGTTTCTTTTGTATTTTTTTATTTCTAACAATAACAAGAACCATAACGGAAATTAGCAAAGTAAAAACTAAGTACCAACAGTAACTAAAAAACAAATAACTTAGCAGATAAATTACTAATTAAAAATTAGGAAAAATTATTCAAGTAAGTGTTCTATGCGTTGGTCGTCGAGTTGTATGTCATAACCTGACTCTCTTAATGTTCTCTATAAGCCATTTTCGTAAATGCTCTTGAGATATGTTTTCTATGGCTGTTCTAATTCTATTTTCCAGTACTTCTAGAAACGGTGGAGGAATGACATAACCTTTTTGTTTTAAATAGCCAAAAATTGAAAAATCCAGAGAGGTTAAATCTGGCGACCTTGCATGCCAACGGTTTATAGCCAATTTCCACCGAATCGTTAATTTAAGTAATTAGTTATAACCCTAGAGTGGTGAGCAGGGACGCCATCCTGCTGGTATAACAAATGTTCGTGGTTCTGCAGATTTTCTCTAAAATGTTCTATTTGGTTTTGTAAAAATTCCAAGTACATGTCACCATTTAACGGTTGATAGAAAAATATAGGACCAATGATATTAAGCCCTGCTATGCCTAATCCAACATTCACTCCAAAACGTTCCTGGAAGGCACCTTCTCTCAATAGCCTTTGGTTCTCCTTAGCTCAATACCGATTAAGCATCCCTAGATTAGTAAGCCTGGATTTAACTGAAAAAATAATACGATGACGGAAGACAGCATTTATGTTCAGATTATTCAAAAACCAGTTGCAATAATTAAGCCGTCTTGGAAAATAATTTTCAAACAGATGGTGATGAATTTGTTACTAAAAAGATGTAAAATTTTTCTTGCACTTTCGTGGGAAATTTGACGCTGCTCATTTATTTCGCGAGTAGAAGCAGTACGATCATATTCTACATATGCTAGGACGTTTATTTTGACTTATTCGCTTACTATAAAACTATTACCATTAACAGGATCGTTATGTTCATTTTTCAAATGTTCTACGAGCCAAGAATAATAGGCGTGTGATGGAGTTTGACGATCTGGAAACCGCTCCTGATATAATCTTGCGCCGCGCCTCGAATTCCTTTGGGATTCATCATAAATAAGAAGCCTGTCGATTTGATGATCTCTCAAATAATTCAAATATTTGTAGTAAGTTAACCACTAAATAAACAAACGAAATAAAAAATATTACACAATAAATGATGCAGAAGCGTGGAAACGAGACTGATAGTTGACAGTAATTTTAAAGGCTTCCCCGTTCATTTGTTTCCAAAGCATCCCCAGATCTTTGTGCAAACAAATGAAATATTCATCCCTGTTAATTATTACAATTCTGGCTTTTTAAAATATAGAAAAGAAAACAAAATAATTATAATAAAAAATGAAAAGCATCGATATTTTCTGCCACGTGACTAGGTAAATACCTATTAGCTGTGCTCAGATAATAACAAATACTAATTTTCTAATAAGCTAGAATGCATGATATAGCTATCCAAAATTTTTCTCTAAGACAAGTTCCTTATAGTGGACATTTTTTAGAGATAACACGACATTCTTCATTAGTAGTATTTAGAAAACACAGTTTCCTATTCAAATTCTGTGAAAACTTTTAAATACATTTCGACATTTTTTTGTTTCACCAACTCAATGCAGAATCGATTTTGCCTCTCATTTTAGCGGTAAGTTTGGAAAAAAGTCCATAGATATTGTCAAAACGCAGCCATATTGAATTTGGCGTAAATGCCATTTTGAAAAAGAATGACAACTTGTGATACATTGTTGAAAAGGGAATTTTAAGCTTTATGCAAATATGTAAAAATATATACAGGGTCTTATTTAAACTTCATGTTTCATACTCACTTTCGGTCAAACCGGAAGCGATATTCAGCTGTTTCTTAATGTATAATCTGAGTTTTTAGATGTCGTATCTTCACACAAAGTTTCAAGGTTATTCTTTAAACAGCAATTGGATAGTGCCTTGTAAAACAATTTCGTTGACACCCGATATATTATCAAAAAAGTGTGGATGGTACTTGAAGAAGGTCACCATCCTAAACATATGTGGTTTGATTAGGCCAGACCAACAACTGAGATTAACAGAAATTGTATGTGAATTGGGTCGACTGTGTAATCGCAAAATTCTTTATGTATGGTATTTCATATTTTTTTGGGTATATTTATTATTACAAACAAAGGTTAACGCAGTGAAACATGTGAACTTGACTGATGAGCTTTAATGAGGCGCGTTGAGGGAGTTGCAGCAATGTACTTTGTGATCGCATCCGATTGGATAATTGATGCATGTGTCACTTATACATGTTACCTTAGAAGGCATGCATGAAAGAAATGTAGGGTCAAATCAAATTACTTGGTTCCCCTATTTCTCAATCTTTAGACTAAGGAAATGCGTATATGCATGTAAAAATAAACTCATACCTGCATAGGTAAATATCGTTATAGTTCAGCCATTAATTACTGTAGTAGGTGTTTAAGTATGCGTCAGCATTTCTTTGAGAACAACCAGATCCGCATGGATCAAAATATTTGGAAACACACCACCTTATATATAGAGCAACAACCTATATTTTAATTAGTACATCGGTTATAGCCTCTTGAGTCAGTTCAAGAAGACTTTTTATACCATTACGGGTGATTATAAAATGTTTCTTTGACCTTGCTATATACGTAAATCATTTCGAAGGCGTTGACTCAAATGGAGTGTATTTAAGGTAAGTGATAGGTTCTTGACTCAACCATCTTCAAAAATTGGCGAACATTGGTGGAGTGCATCAGAAGATTGCACTTTCAAAGTTATCATCTACTACGTTTGTAAAGTGCTTTCATAACAGCGCCTCTGCGCTATATTGTATAATTTTTAAATGAAATGGAATGTCATGCCCTAGAATATAATCACTACCTTCCAAATTGATGCACTGGCAGGGTGTCAGAGTTTTTATGCATTGAATTGCCTATTACTTAAGAATAAATCATCAGAACGTTATATACATTTGAGAACTTCCTACCACGGATTTATCGACAGTTTCTTAACCAAAAGCTACTTCACTCCCTTTCACCCTCTACCCCCAGGGATCGTCCCCTTAAAAATTCTAAATGACAAGGGGTATCGAGTAATAGCTTATTTGAAACGCCTTTCAATGACCTTTATTTTCACGTTTGATTTTTTGAAATCGGTCGATTTGTTTTCAAGAAAATTAGATAAATCTTTATCTTAATTTGTTCAGATAGAAAACAAAAACACAGGAAAATATCACTTTTTATTTCAATAAGTATTCAAAATGTTGCTTGTTATTGGTCAAACAATGATATAGGCGATGCTCAAATTCCTGATGGACATTTTCAAAAACATGTTGTGGGATATCGTGGCAGCCTTGGATGATGCGTTGACGAAGTTCATCCAAACTCTCATGTTGGGGTGTAAGTACAATAGATGTCAAATGGCCCCATATAAAAAAGTCTAATGGCGTCAAATCAGGAAATTTAGCAGGCCATTCTATAGGCCCTCTTCGCCCTATCCATTTATCTGTAAACTCGTCGCCTAGCCATTGCGTCATCAAGTATAAGGTTTCCGTAGATCACGTTTTTTCTTTGCAGCAGATCCAGCTTGAGTGAATTTAGTAACAAGGTCCACAACATAATTATGCGAAGTTATCTTCTCTGGATATCTGGCTTTAAGCATGACGGCAGTTTGCAGAACACATTGATTTTGGGTACCATAAATTAGAAGCATTTCCGCTCTTTCTACTAGTGTGTAAACCGTTTTGGAACTAAAATCTGAATCAATATATTAATTTTCACTATCCCAAGATTGTCACAAAGGTAACTGACAGAAAATTGAATTCTTTGTTTCCCGTGGCAACAAATAACTAAAGAAGTATAACAATCAATGCAGTTCGCCTAGGATGAAAACAATGCGGAAAAAATTCGGGTTGCTATTTGGTTGTTGCCACGTCTAATCTTCCGGATTGCTGTTTATGTTGGTAGTTTCCGTTTTAAATTATAAGTGAATTGTAGATTTGGCAAACCCTAACGGGCAACATTTTGAACACTTATTGAAATAAAAAGTGATATTTTCGTGTGTTTTTATTTCTATCTGAACAAACTAAGGTAAATAAAGATTTTTCTAATTTTCTTGAAAATGAATCGACTGATTATAAAAAATCAAACGTCAAAATAAGGGACTTCGAAAGACCTTTCAAACAAGCTATTACTCGATACCCCTTCTCATTTAAAATTCTTAAGGGAATGACCCTGGGGGCCAAGGGTGAAAGGGGGTGACGTAGTTCATGGTTAAAAAGTTTACCCCCTTGACAAATCCTTTAACGTGTCTCGGCATTTTTTCATTTAAGCAGTGGTTTTCGATAACTCCGTGGTGGAAAGTTTTCAAACGAACACCCAGTATACATAGTATGTTACGTCATTTGATTTCTTTTGGAAGCGTCTATCTAAGTATGCAATAAAATATGACACATTACGTTTACGAAAAATTGACAGATTTTGAAAATTTTTAATGGAATCTTCCATATTTTATTACACAACCGGTTAGACTCTTTCAAGAGAACATGTTACAAACTATAGCATTCTGATGAATAAACCACTCAATGTACAATAACGATCAGCTTTAACAGCTTGCTAGATGTGAAAGATATCGATTTATGTTGTAGGGCTACAAAGTACTCATAAGTACCTTGAAAGTGAGGTATCATACTACTCCTCATCCCTATTAAAAAAATATTTCAACTGACACTTCAACGCTAATACGAGGTATTCATGCATAAATTTGAAAAAATAAATAAATAAAAAATGTTTTGATTCAAATCAAATTGCATGTAAGTATATATGTAAGATGTACCATGTCTTCGAATCCACTAACACCACATTTATCTACAAACACTCGAACTGTCAAAAAGTGACACTAAAGATACTAATTTAATCACAGAAATGTCAAAAAATCGACCTATGCCAATTGCACTTTGATCCTCACTGCATAGTATGAGAACTAGGAGACATCCTTGACTGGCTTCTACCTAGTCCGAATTCGTTGGTTCAAGCCAGCCCGTTACGCAGCTGCTACTCGCTCTTGCACACACACACACACACGAAGACATGAATTAGGTGACAGGAGACGTTTTATACATACCCTTTAACTACAGAACTCGACAGGCTGTTTCGTATTGGGACGAACATGTAAATGAAGTAATTTTAAAGTCTGTAGAGTTACAACACTCTACGTTTTCTAATTGTCGTATCAAACCATCGCGATGCTGAAATAGCTATTTGTGTAATAAGAGCACCAAAATATGTAAGCAAATGAGTTTGTTGTTATGGTGAGAAACTACATAAATCTTTGAAATGGTAAAATTCTGTGGGAGTTTCACATTTTGTCGTTATGTTTCATACCATTTTTGTCTACACCAAAAAACAGTGACTTTGACCAGCTTTGTAAGAAATATTAGACTGGGCAGTTGATTTTTTTCTCTACACTAGTCGTATTGCGCAGTTAGACAGTTGGTACGAGACTAATACTTAGGAAGCGTTTTTGCTAGTCTAGAGTGGTGAAACTGCTTTGCGCTTTAGGCCCCAACTCTACGCCTCGGGCCATATACGCGATCTTATCGCCCTAAATACATAAATAACTACATATGTATACTATGTCTGTATACTGGGTTATTTTTCTGGCTAGAATTGTATTAGAATTGATGAAAACCCCCAATGACGCAACAACCACCGTCATAAAGCGTCTTGATATTTCATGCGTAGTATGTTATTTGATATGGATAAGAGAGTCAGAACCGCATAAAGTCCCCAACTGTTAATTATCATTCAGTCGCTAACGTCTAAAACAACTGTGCATGTTAATTTACGCCAAAGTACCCCTGATTACCTTTGCCCTTTCTGTCGACCTGAAGCGCTGATGTTATCAACACACGAACAATGTAAAGTCCACAAAATCAAAGCAGGGCAACTCTCAAAACTCTACGTTTCTCCCTAAGTTATAATCAGAGAAACGTTTTGGTATTATTGCTGAAGGTAAGGTATTTAATGGAACCCTGAAAATTTTTTTATACATTCTCTTCGATTGATACAGTAGGTGTGGGGCCAGGAATGGTTGACTAAGAGTAGATCCTGTTTCACGGAACCTC